GGTGCCAACCTACCCCGTGGGCAGGGGAGAAATCGGGGGCTTGGTCCCACTTGCACGAATTGAGAGATATTGACCGTAGATAGCGAAAATCAACGGCCGAACGGCTGAAATCTCCTAATCTGCCCAAGTGGGACCTTGCCCCCGGGGGCCATGCCCCGCTTGTCGAGGTTTAGTTCTGGTTTCAAGTATGCCGGGCTCCGTGTCATCCGATCAGAAAATTCCACGGCCCCGGTGTGACCACGTTGAAAAATACACGAAACGTAAACTAAACCCCCTCTAGTGGAACATGGCCCCGGGTTGGTTGGTGTTCCCCGGTACATGAGAGGATGAGATAGATGCGTACTACGAAGAAGATGAGATAGATTAAAGAAGAATATAAAAAATAAAATAAACAAATGGGTGTATCGTTCCATGTTCTAGGTGATTATTCATTCATTCTCAGTTTGCACATTTGGTGAGTATAGGAGGGAGGTTATTGTGAGTGGCGCAGCTACCGGTAGGAGAGGGGGTGGGCGCTGCCGAGAACGGAAATCCCCACGTGTAGTTCTCCCCCCCCCGCCGCAGCGCTGGGAGTTCCCGATTCTCGAGCGCTGGCCATATGCGGAAGGCGGGCAAATGTCTGTACCTGCGGTGTTGTGCCTGAAGACGCGGAGAGTTCCACTCACACTCGACCCAGGAAGGAAATAGTAGGTGTGAATCTTCCTTCCCTCCCTCCCTCCCTCACTCTCGCTCTCTCCCTCCCTCCCTCTCTCCCTCTCTGCCTCTCTCCCTCCCGCCCACCCTCTCTCTCTCTCTTTCTCTCTCTCTCTCTCTCTTGGCGCTGTGGTGAGCAAAGAGGTGGAGGGTTCCGCTCCCTCCTCTCGTCATCCACGGTTAGGGCTGCAACTCCATTTTTTGTTGGGATGCCATGTTGCGAGTGGGACAGCATTTTTGCACAGCGGCTATCGGAAGGAGTAGGCGGGGGTCATGCTGTGCATGCGGAGAGGCAGGGGGAGAAGGGCACTAGGGGGAGGTCAAGTGCCTGGTCAGGGAGTCAGAAGAAGGTAGCCATCGAAATATCTTGAGGGCGTAGCAAGAGAGGGACTAAGGAGGGTGGTGAGGATGCGGGATCAGGAGGATGAGAGGGTTGGGATTTGGTCGGTCAGGAGGGAATGCGATGACAGAGGACGCAGAAGGAGAGCCACCGGGATAGGGTGAAGCATGTAAGGTTAATTTGCCGGCGTTAAGGAGGCTGTGGAGGAGGACGACGTCGAGGAGGGGCCTAAATTAAATGGGAGGACGTTGTATGTCGGGGTTCCAAAGGGGATGGGCAGCGCCGATTGGGAGGGTGCCAATCAGGATGTGCATCGAGAGAAGGAGAAGGTCGGAAGGACAAATTGGGAGTGTGCAATCAGGATTGGGAGGGTGCAATCAGGATTGGGAAGGTGCAATCAGGACGTGGATTGAGGGTGTGGGAACCGATGAAGTGCAGGGAAAAGTAGGCCAAGGCAACAGGGTAGTAAGGAAGGTCGTGTAGGGGGGGGGATCCGGACAAGGTGGGGGGGGAAGAGATTGCAAGGCGCATCTCAGAGCGCCGGGGACGGAACAGGGAAGGAAAGGAGAGAGCAGGGTAATGTCGAAGGGCCTAAATCACGAGAGGGATAGGGTAAATGTGGATATGCAGGTGATGGAAAGAGAGAGGAATGAGGAGTGAAAGAGCGACAGACAAAGGAAGAGAGGAAAGGACTTACCAGATCCGCAGGGTCATGTCGAGGGTTGAAGAACGGGGCACGTCGAGTGTTGAAGAGCATCATGACGGAGGAGAGAAAGGGGTGAGGATGGCGGGAAGAGAGAGGCGACAGAATCGGGACTAGGAGGGAAGAGGATGGTGAAAATCGGATTTCGGGGGGGAGATTGGGAGGGGGGATGGAGGGCGCAGGTTGAAAGATGGAGTCGGCCAGACGGAAGGGAGGCAATGGAGAAGGAAGAAAGGGAAAAAGGCGAGCAGGTAGTGAAAAGAGAGAGAGAGAGAGAGAGAGAGAGAGAGAGAGAGAGAGAGAGAGAGAGAGAGAGAGAGAGA